CCCCAACCACTCCAACCGCCGATGTGCAATTTTGTCTTTAATCGTCTCGGAGTCTCCCCAGCGCACCACACACACACACACACACACACACACACACACACACACACACACACACACACACACACACACACACACACACACGTACACACACACACACGTACACACACACACACACACACGCACACACACACACACACACACACACACACACACACACACACACACACACACACACACACACACATAACCATCATAGCAACCTGTTTTAAATCCAATTCTCCATGATTACACAAGCTATGACAAAAAATAAACAAATTACATATAGAACATTGTAAACACACATAGAAATTACTATCAGTTCATAAATCAATGATGAAAAAACAACATAGCATAGCAGTAGCAGCAGATATGATTATAGGCATGAAAACATCAGAAATCTATTCACAACAGTCCTCAACATTAGAGTAGTAAGCAGGCAAGCAGCAAGCAAAAACATAATATCTACAAGAAGAAAAGCAGGCAAAAAAACATATCCATGGTTAGGGTTTAGGGGTAGGGGGTGTACAGGGGAACAAAACAATACAAAACTTTACATTGTTCCAAGAATTTACAACAAATTTACTAAGTTTACATTGCTGTGTAATCAAATTACAACACAACATACATTGCCTTCCACTCACATGATCAGTCTACATATTCAAACACCATCCAAACCATCCCGACGCCCCCTCTCTGTGAACACAGTGACAAGTTGAGAACAAATATTCTCACTCCAGTCACAGTCATACACGGACAGTGTACGTAACTGTGTACACACCTTCACTGCTTCAATGAATCTCAATTCATCATCCTCACTACCCACAAACACATTCAAATTCAACCCCAACTCTTCCAGCTGTGTACATTGCTCCAACATATCACAGAGTACAGACAACGGTGCAGCACCATCAAGATACATGCACCTGCTGACATTGACAGCGTGTACATTCTTACACTGACTAAGTGCACGGAACACCGACACAAAACCACTCACACCAACAGGGTTACCACCGACACCCACATCCACAAGACTAGCAGACATGGCTGAAATCACGGAGGACAATGCCTGACCATCGTGAATACCATTCCTCCCTAGATCTAGTACACGTACATGGCTACACCTCTGTAAGCCTGCTGATAAGCTGTGAAATGACGCATCGCCAATGCTACACCCAAAGAGGTTGACTACCTCTAAATCACTACACGTATAGCCACGCAGTAAAGAACTGAGAGCAACACATTCATGAGAAGAAAGAGAAACATAATCGAGATTGAGCTTTGATGCAAGCATAGCACGAAAGAAAGAGTGTGTCCAGTTGCAGGACACACCGTGATACTCTGCATGCTCATGATATGCCACAACAAGATGAACAAACAACCTACGTATAGGAGATTCAGCAGCAGAAAAAAACTGAGCAGCATCAGCTAGACTTACAATGCCAGAAGGAGCAGCTTGCAGGGATTCACGACTCAGCAGCATAGCAGCGGGATGAAGGAGACTCTCGCACGGCCGCGCCAGCTCGGCATCCACCTGGGATAGCGCTTCCAGCAGCACAGTGCCATTTGCAACACTGCCGTTCTCCATCCACACCGTCAGGAGAGTATTTAGGAATAGCGCGTCTGTGGGCTCTCGGCTGATGGGCATGGAACGGCGCACGCGTTGCCCACCATGGCCCTTGCCACGGTCATGCTGAGGAATGAGGAGAATGTCGGCGAGGACTGTCATGTGCTCAGCCTTCAGTACCTGGCAAAGTCGGTCGTGGACCTTTGCCATCTCCATCTCACCGGTCAGGACACTTGAGTCGTTGCGCATGTCCCCGGCTAGCTTAGCGGCGGTGGCAGCACGCCTAGCGGCAGTAGCAGCATGTTTGGTAGCCTTCGTAGTCTCGAAGGAAGCCCACACCTCTTGCCCGTCGCTGACCCGTCTGTTAGCTCGTTTGGTGTATTCGTCGGCCTCTCCGCTAGGATCCAGTGGTATGGGATCCTCACACTGCACACGCCATAGCTCCTCCATGATGGTCAGCGACACGTCTTCCGGGCATTGAGCAATGAGAAACTTCCAGAACATTGCCATATGGCCATCGTACGCGCCCAGTCGCCGTACCAGTGCAATGGCGTGATGTCTTTCTTGCACCACACATTCTGCCTGAAACCATGCCGCCAGGAACTCCTGCAGTGACAGATGGCAGAAGCGGTATTGCCGAGCGTCCGTAGACATTGTGCCTTGGCATGTTTGCAGAAGACCCAAGCTCATTGCATCCTTGCTCAAGTGGGAGTTGATGATGTCGGACGTGTTGAACACCATCCTTTTCACCAGCAGCATGCGAAACGCAAAACGCCCCAGTTCCTGTAGCGACTGGACCACTTTGCCGGATGCCAGTGAAATCGACTCGCAAACCGCACCACCAGCGCGTTCAACGACTCGGCGCAGTAACGATTCGTACAGGGATGCGCTGGACTTCAACAAACCTATGCTGCTCTTGAAAAGCTCACAGGTTAGGGCTGCAAACATGGGAGTTGCCATAAGACATGACACATCCGGCTTGTTCTGCAGCTCGGCCAGCAGAATTTCAGCGCGCTGTCTACCGAGAACCTTCTCCGCGTACTCCCTCACGTTCTCCGGTGAGAAACCCAGTACTTGGATCTTCTGCTGATATTTGCCACACTGCGATAGTTGATATGCATCCTGGCATGGACGGCTTGTGACGATCACGTGTGTCTTCACCATGCCCTCACGTTTCAGCAAGTCACTCATGAACAAACTGCAGCTGGCCAAATCACATTCATCCAAGCCGTCCATGATGACACATAGACGGCTTGGAGAATCTTCGAAGTAGTTTGCAAGCTCCAATATCTCAGTCTGCGACAGGCCCTGGCTCGCCAGTTTCACAGCCAACAGCTCAGCAAGACTAGTGGCAGCTCTCACCTCTTTTTTACGAAGCTCCAATCCTACGACCAGGTCGAATTCCTCCTGCCATAGTTCACCTCTGCTCCACAGGTATAGAACCATGAGCAGAAACACTGTGGTCTTGCCACTACCAGCAGATCCGTACGCCAGTACATTCCGTAACACCTTGCCACAGAGATTCGGTCGCTCGGTCGCAGTAGCTGCTGTTGGTGCAGATTTTCCTTTTGAATGGGAAACGTCGTCAACACTCGAACCTGCGGCACGAAACAGGTTCTTCAATTCAATTCGATCGGCTTTGCTAAATTGCACTGCGTGTTCACGTCTCTCGGTGTACGTGGAGAAAGACAACTGCTCGTCAAATTCCGACTTCAATTCGTTCTCGGATACCAATGCCAAATTGACGAATATCTCTTGTAATGGAATTACTGCATCGCCAGCCAATCCACCACTGATTTGCAATCCAGACTCTTCTGCCAACTCACGTAGCTTTTCCTTCGCTTTCGCTAGTGAGCCCAGGATCGATGTTTGTTGAGCTGAGGGCCCAGCTCCTGTCTCGTTCCCCATCTTTTATTCTTCAATGAGTTTCTTTCACAGAGACTCGCACTCTCTACTCTAGCTCTCCCGTCACCAGATCATGATCCTCTAGCCCCACGCTTGACCTCCGGTCCGAATCATACCGCGCCGCGGGCCGTGCTTGAAGACCAAACTCGAACGAGTCGAAGCGATCACTACAAATAATTAATGAGTATTAAAATACCGGCATTTTACTACTCCTTGCTCCACAAAAATGTAATCTTGACTGTTAGTCCAGCGGCCCAAACTTCAAAAAAAAATTCCGTTTCAGTCTCAAGCAGACAACCTGGGTTCTTCACCATGTTCACTACGGCCTAAAGTATTGTTGCAAAAGAAGGAACCCAGCACCCCTGTCTTTCCGGGACAGTGCCCTACCGATTAGGCTACCGGGGATCACACACACTCATGGGTCCTTCTTGCTACACTGCTCCCCCGCCCCAACAGGCTGTGTCCTCACGCCGTACCTACTCGCGGGGGGTACGATGGGTCGTGGGTTCGAGCCATTGCCAGGCGCCAATGTTGCAAAAGAAGGATCCACGAGCGGGATTCGAACCCAGCACCCCTGTCTTTCCGGGACAGTGCCCTACCGATTAGGCTACCGGGGATCACACACACTCATGGGTCCTTCTTGCTACACTGCTCCCCCGCCCCAACAGGCTGTGTCCTCACGCCGTACCTACTCGCGGGGGGTACGATGGGTCGTGGGTTCGAGCCATTGCCAGGCGCCAATGTTGCAAAAGAAGAATCCACTCCCTAATGTTGATGTCGAATAATTCTGTCCTCGTCGTGAGATAATATATACTTTACCAACGCTCGTAAACCGGTATCTCTGGTGTGTGAATTGACAACATTGTGAATTGACAACAGTATGTATACCTGACCTGGATTCCGCTTGTTGTCATCTTCAGAGTTAGGGCAGAAGCTCAGGAGAAGCCAATTTCTCCGCTCTCGTCGGCGATACTGCGCACCATCTGGGGGTGCGCAGTTCACGGAAAGGAGCGCCTTTTTCAAATTTTTGAAGATGACGACGACACCGACAGGATACTCTTTGAAATGTAGAATTGCATTTTCGTTTGGTAGTTGCATAGTAGTTGCGTTTCGCGCTGTTTGAGTGCCTCCTGCCCACCGCTCACAGCATGGTAGACACCTTTTGACATGATGGAGGAAGAGGCCGTGGAGCTTCTTAGGCCTCGTCCTGGGAATGGCGTTGTATCGCGGGAATTTTGCGTGTACCATTGCGTTCAATGCATCGCAGGAAAAGCAAACCCGATTTACTTTGCAGAGTTGGGAAACTTTCTTTGAAGCTGCTAAATGCAGGCAGGACGAGCTATACCTTCTTGTGCGAGAGCCACTGCACCGAGGAGAGCGTCCGCGGATGGTACCACCGCAAGTGCTACAGTACATGCACTAACAAAACGTTGCTGGGTCGGCTGCCACTTGGACGAGGCCATGACTGTTCAAGCCATTCTGAATTGGAGGAGATACATGTATGTGATGATTGGACACCATGTATCAGCAAAGCGTAGAACAAGGAGAGATGTACAATGATTGAATCCATCTGCAGACTTGTGCCTCATGACATGTGCATCTAGCAGAGTTGGAGAACAACGCAAGAATTTTGGCTTTCGCTCCAGAATGGCCCAGATTGCGTTGCAGCGGAAATCCACTATCAACGTCGGAGCATGCTACAGTGCCTTCACCCACCTGGCCACTATGCACCGGTAACGAAGTGGCAAAGGGAGTGACCAGCCGTCGTCCTACGAAACATTTGACAGCCTGGTGCTGTATATACAGTCCGAGTTGAAGTCTGCAAGGGCCTTGCCCATGAAGCTTCTCACGGATAAGTACAATAACTGCAAACGGCACCAGCTTCGCCGACCATCACACTTCGCCTTAGTATCCAACTGTCATGCTGAAAAAGAAGATAATGAGCTACTTGGGGACCAGGTGAGTTCTTGGCATTGTTGAATGTGTAGACATAATTTGATCATGTTTTATTGTTTGGTCATGACCAAGGAAATCCAAATAACACATACGCTCAACTACAAGATCACATGATCGCATGTACACACCAGATCATGAGTCCAGACTCAACTCATGCACAGCAACTAAAAGCCGCTAAGTTCATTTCACACGCGCGCTCGGGAAACGGCACATGCTGCATGCATAACATAACACGATGCGCTACTATCATGAATGTCTGGGTGGCCAAGGAATACCACAATGTGTATGTAGACGTGAACACTACAGTGCCTGACATCTACAACATAGGAATGTATTAAATGGAATGCAAGTGTTCATGCTCATGTAATGTGGTAGTCTTCTTTGGTTGAATTACGTTTGTGGCTGTTACACGTATTATTACGACCAGCTTGGCTCTCGCGCTACTTCACACGGTACACATGTAGGTCAGAATAAATCAGGGCTTGTGGTCCGAGTCAGAGTAATGTCCAAAGCTGACGTCAGTATTCTAGGCTGACTTTAAGCAAGAAGAGACAGAATTATAAACTGGTTGTTTTCTAAACACAATTGTATAGCCCGTGATAACGCGGACATGCTTCCCTTTTTTTTAAGGATCGAATTTCATTGGCGTGTTTCATTTGCGTTTTGTGTTTGAACTGTGTGTTTCCTTCAGCAATTGACATGTATGGTAAGTGGCATGGGTATACAGGCGCACTCTTCACGGAGCAACCACTTGTCTGTGTCGTCTGCAAACGGTCCGATGGCCGGTAATACCCAGTCATTGCCGAACAGTCATACTAGTAACGCACCTGGCCCGACTCCAACCATCCCAGTCCAGCCGGTCGCCGCAGATTTCCTGCCCGCATCCACGTCCACTCCGCACCCCAGTGTCCGGCAAGAGAACGGGCCCAATGCCAGGAGTTACGACGGGCCCACTGCCAGGAATTACGATAGGCTCACTGCCAGGAGTTACGATAGGCCCGCTGCGATATCCGCTGGGCTTGTCCCCGCCAATGTCGTGTTGCCCACTCATTTCGGCTTCAAAGGATCCGCTACTCCGCCGCGTCAGGTGAACACAAGTGGATCAGTTTCATCTCTGGGTACTACATCAGCCTCCAGTACAGATGTGTCGGCTAGTACGGCTTTGACTACAACCTCGGGTGCGAGGCAACCAGTGGCGGCTGCGGTGTCTTCTACAGCGCCATCTCAGCCACAGTCGCAGCAGGTTCTTGCTGATCTCTAGCGTGCTATGTGGTGTGTGCGCGCGCGGACGCGCACACACAATGCCATGTGTTGTGCGGTGTGTGTGCGTGCGTGTGGGTTTTGTGTACGTGTGTGTGCGAGCGCGCGCACAATGCCATGTGTTGTGCGGTGTGTGTGCGCGTGCGCGCGCATGCACACAATGCCATGATGAGGGTGAAGGCAGTTTCGACAGTGGATTGGACTGTAAGTCCGACTGTGAATCGGACAGTGAGTCTGAAAGCTAAGGCTGGTGGACCGCACTATTGAAGTTTTTGAATTGATTTGAATTGTACTTTTCAACTCTGCAGCAAATGACGAATACACTACTGCGCTATTATTTACATCTTCCATATCGCTCGTTTGCTAAGATCAGCTTATGATCGCTATCACTCTGCCGTTTTCCGGTGTCCTTTGCTTCGCTCGTGCTAGCTCTCTTCCGCTGGTGTTGTCGAGATAGTGTCCCAATAAATGAAATCCTCTCATACGAAAGATCCATGTTTGGGGGTGATTTTGGTCAAATTTTACAACAAATCAATCTGTGCCATCTCTAATCACCATCAATAGGAAATGAACGCTCGGCAAAGGGCAACCATGATCTACAAATCATCCAAACACAAGAACAAATTCACATCGACTGCACTAATTTTCAATAAAATATCGTATCACATGCTGCCAATTTCAATCAAGGAGTCGTAAAATAACGTAAAATAACGACTTCCGTAACGAAACCTAAAATTGGTTCTCCCCAGCTTATGCCCTAGTTCTGGACATGACAACAAGCCGTTTCGACATCCCTAGGACATGGTCTTTCCACCCATGCGAAGCTCAGGTTGTCTGCTTGAGACTGAAACGGGACTTGCAAAACAACGTCTTTTAGATTTGGGCCGCAGGACTATGTGCTTCGCTACATGTATACAATCAAGTGGTAGATCTAGTAACGAGTGTGGTTGTCTACATAGTTATTCGTTACTGCCACATTTTAGTCTGCAATCAGTCATGTAGAAACTGATGGAGATATACAAGACTCTTGATTATGATTTGCTGGTTGTCCGTAAACTGTGTGACGTGCAGACTGGATACGAGGGTGCGGGATAAAAACGTTGAATCTATCCATGTCATCGGAAAACAGTGAGAAGGAACATATTCATTTGAAACATGTCAAAGTGAAAGGAGGAAAAATAGGATCCGAAAACCGGTAATGCGACTAAGAGAAAGCAGAAAAGAGAATGTGATGCGCGCTAAGATAATAAACCCAAACATGAAATTCACCGCTGAACAACTACATGTCCAAATGTAGATCAGGCAGGGACAGAATGACTGTTTAAAATATATACCAATTAGGCAATAGTTGTGTATTTGTATTTCACTATTTCCTAGTTACAATCAGAGTACATGATAGACGATTCAGCCTGGCTATGGATGTGTCCATTGTTGACTTGTTTCTTTGCAAAGAGAACACTTACATTGGTGATGATGAAGAGTTTTCTGTGTTATCACTCAAACATTTGATGTTGCAAACCTTGATGGTGAGAATGAGAATAGTGGTGCGAGAATGGCAAAACGAAACACGTCATCGAATCCATGACGTCAAATGTTCATGTGTGGCTACTTGGTCCAGTAGGAAACTATCGAAGACGCTGGTACAAACCTGGGGGAGGGGAAGTTCCCAACGCAACACTGGCTTAGGGAAAACCGAAGCCGTGAAGGTAGGTACATGTAAGTGTGACATGATGCAGCTATTTCTGATGTGTTGTTCAAAATGACAATGTTTCTACTTTTCACGGAGCATGGCACTAGAACGTGATTGTGTGTGAGAATGTTACAGTCTGATTCGATTGTGTGAAAGGTTTGAAAACCAGTACATTGAGAAACACGTTCGAATCGTCCATCCCACACATTCCACTAGCCGAAATGCAAATCCAGTCTGTTCGTCTGTGATAGTGGTCCAGTACAGAAGACTCGCACCAATCCCAGTAAGTGAATGTAGACCAGGCTTGACTGACACATCAGTCACGTGACAACTCTCTTCTGTAGGTTCGCTGTCACGTGACGAAGCTCATTGTGTAATGGGTAGCCGAGTGGTAGGCGCGGTGAAATCAACAAAAATTACTTTTATTCTACTTCTTTCAGGTACACACCTGAGATATAATTATTAGTGAAAGCAAGAGTACATAACCCCCCAGAGTGTGCAACGCCTGATCCAGCTCTGCATAGGGTCTTGGTCGAGCGGAATCGGATCTTTGCGTCATAATACCGTACACATCTGAGGGGAACCCGGGGAGTCGCGGGTACTCTTGGATCAAAAACAATGGTGCCCTGCCTCGAGACCGGCCTTGCGCTGGTGTGGAGTGTACGCATGACATCAGAAGATCCGATTCCGCTCGACCAAGACCCTACACAGAGCTGGATCGGCGTTGCACACTCTGGGGGGGTTATGTACTCTTGGTGAAAGAAGAAACGGCAAAATAACTGACTTTCTCTCCGGTGCACACCTGGAGGTTGAATAGCTCGTTATTATCAAAATCTCTCATCTTCATCAAAACAGAAATGCGCAGCCGCTTTTATGCAGCAGACGCCGTACGCTTACATACGGAGATACACTAAATATACATCAGGCAAAGCTCCGTATTAGTTCCGTACTGCTTCCGTATTGGTCGGGCAGGGATACTACACCCTCCCTTCCTACAGATAATCACGCCCTCGTGATTCTCAAAAATTAGTGAAGAGTTATGAACAACAGCGTCACCCGGAAGATGGCAAATTATATCGGAAATGATAACGTTTAGAGAAGACAGAAGAAATGAACTGATAACAAATCATAAAGTAGAAGCACACCAGGTTCACACGATCTCACGGGGTCAAAAGGGGAAAGAACTGTCCTCCAAATAGGACCTGAAAAACCACAGCACTCTTGCTGCACAACGCTGGCACAACCCGCCAGGAACATCGCAGTTCAAAAACCGAACTGAATACACTATAACTATAAGGGGCGTTGTCACACACATTGTCCCACGTTAGCTGGGTAAACCGTGGCTCACCATGATCAGACGCCTACCAAACTAAACTGGATTCACACACTCGCATAAAGGAAGACTGAAGAAAACAGGGAGACTGAAGGAAGACAGGAAAGAAAATGCCATACCTGGAATCAGCGTTAGTAACCACGGCGGCGGCTGGAGCTATGGCGGAGGGCGAGCCAGGTTTTATCTTCATCTTGGTTGAGCCGGTCACTCAGAGCGGCTAGCTCGGCGTCAAACAAATAACCTCCCTCCTCGTCTTGAATCGTGGCTTTCACATTGTCGATAGCATCGCTTTGCGCGACGTAAAGAGTGATGGTCTAGCCAGGAAGAGTGTTGACGAAAATCTGCATCCCACCACGGAGGCGAAGTACCAAGTGAATAGTGGACTCCTGCTGAACGTTGTAGTCACTCAGGGTTCGGCCGTCTGCCAACTGCGTGCCGGCGAAAATCAAACGCTGCTGGTCTTGGGGAATACCCTCCTTGTCTTGGTCAGCAGCCTGCATGTCGTCGTCCTCATCAGCTTCGCCATCACCACAGTATACGTGTAGGTAGCGGGTCGCTTGGAATCGCCATTGGAGTCTCCAGTGGATGCCATGCGTAGAGAAGGGTGATCCACGCTAGCACCCTGGCTGTGCTGCAAGCAGGGCCAAGCCCAGGAAAGCAAGAAACATGATTCTCATCTTGATTCGTCGCACGGAGCTGCAGCGGGTTGAGCCATGGGGGTCTGGGGTCGAATCACGTTGTTTTATTTTACAAAAACACACCGCTGCCACCAATGTAATGGGTAGCCGAGTGGTAGGCGCGGTGAAATCAACAAGAATTACTTTTATTCTACTTCTTTCAGGTACACACCTGAGATATAATTATTAGTGAAAGAAGAAACGGCAAAATAACTGACTTTCTCTCCGGTGCACACCTGGAGGTTGAATAGCTCGTTATTATCAAAATCTCTCATCTTCATCAAAACAGAAATGCGCAGCCGCTTTTATGCAACAGACGCCGTACGCTTACATACGGAGATACACTAAATATACATCAGGCAAAGCTCCGTATTAGTTCCGTACTGCTTCCGTATTGGTCGGGCAGGGATACTACAATTGTAAGACATTATCCGTTAGCCAACAGTGCTGCAGTAAAGTACGTGGGTCACATTGCTACCCCCACCCCGCACACACACAGGCTGATGGTAGGCGACAGGGCTGCCATACCGCAGAACAAGACCATCTCTGCATTTACTGTTTGACAGCTAAGTTGAACCCATGAGCCTTCAGTGGACGGCAGGTGCATGGTTAGTCAACTAGATACTCCAGACTCGCGGACCTGCTGCATGGCACAATGCAGACTTTCAGAGAATGTGCTAATGACACAACGTCACCGCAACAGCAGCAGCAACAGCACCCTGAATATGGGCTAGTTTCACTGTCTACCTTCCTTGGTCTTCATATGACTGACGGTGGACAGCGAAGCTCTAAGCTGTGGACATTGAGTCATGATGTTGTAGAGGTGAGGGATGGTGAAGAACGATACAGCGTACCCAGTTCAGTGGGATAAAGCATTTATTATTCTTTATTTCCACGATGGCCCATGGCCAATAAGGAAGATAATATGATTCAAATCAGTCCAGAATCATAATTATAAAATCAGTCTATCAAGTAAGGAAACCAACACATTGCAGGGGGATGGGGTTACGATGGGGTACAGAGTGAGCTACTACAGGAGCATATGGATGAAAGAATGAAGCTAGACGCCATTGATTTAAACGCATGCTTGCTATTTGTTTCACGCAGGTCGGGGGGTAGTTGGTTGAAATTGTGAAGGGACAGGCTGATGGGTGAGTTGGTGTGTCGGTATGTGTGTGATGATCTCAATGTGTATGTTCTCATGTGTCGTAGTGCATATGGCTGCTCTGTGATTGGTCGTGCAAGGTGAGGCTGTTGCAGGTGAAGGGGAGCGCGGATGTACTTGATGTTGTGGGCAAGAGTAACCTGTCGTAAGAGTTGCCGGGAGACTAATGTGGGGAGTTGGAGATGATGAAGAAGTGAGCTG